GCGCGGGCGGTGGCGGGGGCGGGGGCGCGGCGCCCACCAGGCTGCTCACCGCGCGGTACTCGCTGCCCAACTGCAGGGGCTGGGCGCATACACCGCGACACAAACTCATACACCTACTTATACTCTACTGACCTTTGCTAATTATTCAAATCAACACATACAATTGATACTTAAATTATTGACGTGATCGAAAAAGTCTGCAAATGGCGTATTTGATAACGGGCATAAAATATCATAACTAATAAAATAGCGAGGCAGAGGATACGTTACCTTGGGATCGACGGCGACCGCCGACTGCGCCGTGGATGACGTCGTGTTGCAACTGGACACAACCTCTGGAGTTGTGATGCAACTAAACGAAATAGCGGAATCGACCTGCGGAAACAGACGCGCGTTAGTGCCGGCCCTGGCTGGCGTACTCAATACTACATCATGCATTCAAGAGTAGTGGGAGGCCTACCTCTTTACTGGTGATAGCAGGCACCTCGGAAGTGTGCGATATATTTTCGTTAACGTTGTTATTAAAGAGATTTTCAAACAGTAGTACTTTAAGGATATTTTTATCTAGAGCACTTTTCTTCGCATCGCTACTGACGGCTTGTTCTGAGGTGCCGCCAGGAGCTTTTTGTTTTTTCTTCTTATTATTGTTGGATTTGTTATTACTTTTAGAGACAATAGGATTAACATCGTTACTATTTTCTATTTGAAGTGGCTGGACAGAAATGTTAACATTATTATGTGAAGTTAAAGGCTGAGGTAATGTTAAAAAAATATAAGCATTGTTAGGAAGCTGGGCTAAGACGATCTGGTCGTTCGTCGTGTTTTGCTCATCATGCGGCTTGCGGTGACTGTCGACCTGGCAGTCATGCTCTCCGCACGTCGGGTCCGGGCACCGAGACAATATCGACTGAACGCTCGTTTCTGTATCTTTATTGGAATTACATGTTGCAGGTTCAGTTACAGCTAAAGTGTCAATTTGGTTCTCCTTCTCACAGTCTGGGGGTATATACTTAATACTGCCATCACCCTCTATACTTTGTAGAAATACTTGTTGGTTTAACATAAATTGTTCATATGAACCCTCTACATCACAGATGGTTAGATTTTCTAAATTACTGATGTCTAGTTCCTCTATATTGTTGATGTTTAGATTTTCTATGCTATAGATGCTTAGACTTTTAGGCTTTACCTCAGTCAATTCTATATCTTTACCTTGAGAATGATTATCACTGTCTAGTGTTGGGGTTGTTAGCCAAGATATATCTTCCACTTCATCGCGTGGGCCACACTCTTTCGCAGGCTGATCAAGTGATTGGCTCGGCCTGTCAGCATTCGTATCATCAGTGGTCTTGTTTGGACTAGCACATAATGGACTTGAAGGACCATCTACTTGGCTACACTCTCTAGGAGGAGGAGAATCCTCTTTTTCAATAATACTGTTGGAACTACTCAGCATATCTATACAATTAATACTTTTGGTATTGTTATCTGCTTCTACATAAAAGGTATCTTGAGTTTGTGGCAAAGCTATCTGCCCTATAGTCATACGTCTAATGTTCCTGGGATTTAAATCCGACGGAGTTGGTACTACTAAATTATCTCCTACTTGTTTCCTATACTTTTTCCTTAAATCTATATCACAATCATCATAGTCATGTATCGAGTTTCCAACCCTATTCAGTCCACCGTCATACCGACGTATATCTCTAAAACCACGAGATTCTTTCAGTCTATTTGGCTCTGGTATACGAGACTTTATATTAATTTCTAAATCGTCTTTTAGACCTCCGTCATCACAATTATTGTCATGACTTGCTTCTGCATTCTCGAAATCAAACTTGCTTTCCACACTCGTAGCCTCAATGCTCTGTTTAGTTGTAATACCCATTGCTTCAGTATTCACAAGCTGTTTCTTCGTTTGATAATATAGAGGGTGTGCGTAGGTCGACAAGCCTTTATACCAGTTGTCGACATTCTCGGCCCACAGTTGAGAATCGTCTGCGAGCTTTTCCTTTGGTGTAACGTTTCCGATGTGATCTCCGACAGCCCGGTCGGGCCGAGCCGAAGGTTTCTTGTCTTCTGTGCCGTCGTCGTGTCGGCATAGTGCGACCGGGCCGCGCGGTCTGACGTTGCGTGCTTCGAGTCCCGGTAGCTCATGCATACCACCACCCTGATCGAGTAGCCTCTGAGGGCGCAAAGCGTTCATGAGTCGGAGTTGTGGTGTGGTGCGGTGGCGGGGGGCGGGTGTG